GCCTTGACAGTCGAAGGAGACCTTGTGCTGTTGAAGCTAGAAAGGTGAGCAGAATAAGTCTGATTCCCTGTAAAGACTTCTCTGTTGACACCCACCCCTTGGCGCTCATATGACCTTATGCAGTTGCGAGCGACGTAAAACCTACTATAAAAAAAAAGCTTTTGCATGGTGGCCACATTTTATTACGAATTTTTAAGCCAGTTTTCTCATTTTCTTTTTGTTGATTACTGAAACATATGCAGGTAGGTGGGCAGCCCTGGGGCCGATTTGTTCAAATGCATGTCTGTGTTATCTCTTTCGTCTAACGTATTGTAAGCATGTCTGTGTTACCTCTTTCATCTAAAGTATTGTAAGCATGTCTGTGTTACCTCTTTCATCTAACGTACTGTTTGCCAAACAATGTTGGTGTCTAGAGCATGGCAAGTTTATACATGTATCTCTATTGACATTCCAGGCCCGGACTGCTTGTGCCCCCGACACACACACGCACAGTCATACATCACTGTTCATCACACGTGTGCTGGCCGCCCATCCAACCCTGACACATGCAAAGATGACACCAACAACTAGTATGGGGCATGCAGCACAAGGTAGTTAAGAGCAATTAAATTCAATCAAAGCGCAATTCATGATATATACTCTGTCACTGCCAAGATGTTGCAGCAAGAATTTTGGAAAGAAATGCAATGTCTAATGCCAATCCACTGACAATCTACCCGATTGATCATGGTTTAAGTGTGCTGTGTCACTCGGTTAAGGACAGAGGTTAACTGCCGTCATTTCTAAAAGTGCATATTCAATATTTTTAAAGAATAGATAAAATCATTTTCTTATAACCTTTAAGGAAATGTTTTCTTGGTAACAACACTCTGGGTTTTTTTGGTTCCCCTGTAAAATTGTAAAAATTTCATATAGATAATAAATAAGGCCAACTGTACTTGAAAAAAATGATGGCAGTTTAGGGAAAGGGTTAAGTTTAGGGTCAGGGTTGTCCTGGCATCATTTATTAGGTTCTCAAAGTCACATGTGAATGTAAAACTATGTAGTCCACTGGCATATTAACCCCGTTAACCTGAGGGTGATTACGCTCTACGCTAATATACCGAGTAGCATCCCGAGGGCCATTACGCTCCACGCTAATAATACATGTACAGAGTAGCACCCTGAGGGCGATTACACTGTATGCAGGGGTTAGGCAGCCACAGGGCTCCAGGTGCTGGGGCTGGGTTGCCTCACTGGGGAAGGGTTCAGAGGGTTAATGTCTGGGAATCCTCCAATATGTTCTTGAAGTCGCATGTGAATATATATATACTAAAGTATTATAAATAGACTACATAATAATAATTTATTATGTAGTCCTCTGTCCTGGGAACGTCCACACATGTTCCGAAAGTCACATGTGAATGTACCGGTACAAAATATCATGTAGTTCATTGACATATTATCCTGGAATTGTCCATTAGGTTCCCAAAGTCTCATGAGAATGTACTATAGCGTAGTCCACTTACATATAAAATTTAATAAATTTGTACATCTTGTTTCCAAAATCACACGTGAATATGCTGCAGTATTATATGGTCCATTCAAATATTCATGGTCCTGGATTCTTCCAATTGACATACGCACAATGTCTTTGAATCGCCCAATTGACATACGCACAATGTCCTGGATTCTTCCAATTGACATACGCACAATGTCCTGGATTCTTCCAATTGACATACGCACAATGTCCTGGAATCGCCCACTTGACAAACATTTTCAATGTCCTGGAATCACCCACTTGACACACAGTATCATTGTCCTGGAATCGCCCACTTGACACACAGTATCATTGTCCTGGAATCGCCCACTTGACACACAGTATCATTGTCCTGGAATCACCCACTTGACAAACATTTTCAATGTCCGGGAATCATTCTTGGGGATCCAGATCCTGAAGTCATACGGTAGGCGAATTGACTGATGATGTATTTCCTCTCACACCTCTACTCTGTGCTATACCGTCTTAACTGTGAAAATCTGTGGGGACAGGAAGGATATTTCATTAATCAATATTGGTTTGTTGTACAACACTTTTTTTTAGGGAGGACCGTTCACAAATAACGTCAGCTCAGAGGGGGGAGGGGGTCGGTGAAAACTTGACAAAAGTTGACATGGGGGGAGGGGGTCGGTGAAAAGTTGACAAAAGTTGACATTGGAGGGGGGGGGGTCTCTTACAAAATTGACGTCAACTATGATGCTCTTAAAGGTTGGGAAAGAAAAGAAAGGAAGAAAAAGTATTATAGACCACTTTTCTAGGCCTAAAATTAAAACACAGGTAAATTGGACCATATTATTTTTTGAGTCTAAAAACTAAAATTAACAGTTCGAGTATTTCTTTGCAGTATTCTTTAATTTTAATAAATAATAGTTTTTATTTTTAAAATTTCAAATAAAGATCACAGATGTATAATATATAAATGCATCCTGTACAGGTTCTATCTAAATGTGCAACATTTTGGTTGACATCAACTGGGGGGAGTCATTTTTGGCCACATTTTAGCTGACGTCATTTGTGAAGTGTCCCTTAATAATGGTTCGATAAAAAAAGAGTAGGCCTACCATTTTGCTTCTAAAACTTAGGGTAAACTGCCCTAGGTGCAACCACGTTCACTATTTTCTAAATAAAGCAGAAGAACGGGAAAAAAAATAACCGAGCGCCTTCCTTTGGATTGTCTGTTGACTTATAATTCACTTCTTTTTTCATTTTCCCTTTTATTGAAGGAAAAACTTGGTTTATGAGATCATTTTTACGTAGTGTGTTCAAGAGGAGATTTTTAAAAAAGAGAAAAAAAAGTTTCAGTTTTCAATGCTGTTTTTTTCTTCACGATGAGTCATTATTTATTTGCTACTGATAACTGATTGTGATATAAAAGCATGTGCAGTACCGGTGCATAAGACAGCAGAATGTCGGTGGTTGCACGAAGGGCATGACGAAATCACCCAGGCTGGTCGCAGCTTGGGCATGGTGATTTGTTTTATGGACCAAGATGTAACAACCTCTTTGGTCATGTTAAGGTTAGTTACAATTATAATATTTCTACCTTGTAATTTTTTTTATAAAAGTAAAAGGAACCCCCCCCCCCAAAAAAAAAAAAAAAAAACCCCACAAAAAACCCACCAAAAACAACAAACAAACAAACATAAAAAACCAAACCAAACAAAACAAACATGCACACCGTTGTTAGTTTTGAGGAATCATACCCGGACCGTTAGCATAGTTACTTGCAGTAAACATAGGTCTTGCATGAACAAATGGAAAAAAAAAGAACACACATACTGAAGAGAGAGGTATTCAGATCTCAATTTTTTCCTTATAATTATAACATTCTTTGTATTCAAAACACACACATTGTGTTCATAGTCAAGAATTCTTAAAACAAAAACAAAAAAGGCATCAATGAGGGGAGATTAAATTGCTCTTCAGTGCAACTTCATCAAGATCTAACTTTGCAGAACACTGACAAAAGCTGTTGTGTAGTGTGTAGGTCTAGTAGTGTTGAAGAGAAAGTGCGCTGACACACATGCTGAATGTACGTGCCTTCACCTAACCTCAGATTCTCTCTCGGCACGAAAATAACTATTTCTGTTTTCAGCCTTTATTCTAGTTCAGTTTTTTTCAGACTAAGCCCTCTGGAGTCTTGTAATTCATTCAAAAGCAAATTATTATAAATTATAATTTCTTTCGTGATTTCATTTTTTCTGTATCTTTGATCATCTTGATGCTTTTGATTCACATAATGGTGGCAGATAGGCAGACCGGTTGCACCAAGGGCATGTGGTTGCACATGGGGCGAAAATGGCAAAAATAGTATTTTTCTCGTCCAAAATCTTTGAGGGAAGAGGTGTTACAAGAAAGTAACAAACTCAAACACAAAATAGAAGGAGAGATCAGGATGATGCCTGTTAGATAAAAAAGAAGGAACAAACCACCACAGAGCATCCCCCAAACCACCCGCTTAGATGTCAATCAAAGGCTGATTGTGACAGACCAGATGTCAAAAGTAAGATCCAGAATTCAAATGGTCGAATATGTTAAGAATAAAGGAAATAAGAGAGATCAAAGGTTACTTAATAAAGATTTCACATGCAAAAAAGCAATGAAGATCTAGCATAAATGCTATTATGAAAGCCTCCTGCCTGCGTCACTCACATCGTCAGGGTCAACAAAGAGAGGCAGGGACATTTGCTCAACAAATTCCACTAAAACCGTTTTTCCATTGGGCATCATAGGGTCATCATAGAGCAGGACGTTGCTGGCCTCTGTCAGGGCCTCTGTGGCAGGGAAATGGGTCATAGTCATGGCGAGCTCAGGCTGCGACTCTGAAAACATAATTATCACATTACTTATATATATTGCCGTGAAACTCAATAACGATGAACATGGATTCCACAAAAACTCCTATTGAATGAAAGAAGGATTCCCCAAATTTTAAACTCCTTAACCAATTTTGAATGGTGACAGCGTCCAGCAGTAGTTGAGGTTAGTAACCATAGCTGGACGGTACCACAGGCGGATGCAAAGTTATAATGTATTATGGTACGGGCCGAATATAAAATACGAGCTAACATTGCTAACTACCATAGAATTCTACACTTAGTGTAGAATTCTGTGCTAACTACAAGTCTTTAGTTTGACCCGGAAGTCAAAGACAAATGAATTCTATGTCTGGGTTAATGCTTTATTAATCAGTTTGAAACGAAACAAGCGTTTTTTTTTAAAACATAATATGTCGGGTCGCAATTTCACAAACACGAGAGAATTAAGCGGAAAAGATTTTTTTAATTGCATGGTTAGAGAGTTAATAAACCATTTAGCATCTTACAGAGGCGTTATGCGAAGTCTTATCGATCTGCACCTAGAGCAGTGTTGCCTAGCACTTCAATTGCTGAAAGCCGACACTGCTATGGTATGCATTTTCTTTGAGGTTTAGGAAGAATGTCCCATTAGAATAGAATTGGCTGAAAATGAGGCTATTGCGCAAAAGTAGAGTTGTTCTTCTTTATTTGGGCTTTTGAATGGTCAAAAGACCGAGAAGTAGTGATATGTAGGGCTTATGTGTAATTTATTAAAAGTAAATATGAAATGGAAGGCGCGATGGAGTTACTTGTTGAACAAGTCCATGGAAACTGAAAATCCATAAAAATTCAGCACGTCAAGCAATTTGAAAGTTCTGTGTGCATGCAAGTGTAAACTCTTGACTCTGAGTCTGAGTGCTCTGAATAAGTCCAGAATGACCCAGTACATGATTATTATTAAGAAGAAAAAAGTCTTGCGGTTGATTAAATCCACTACATGGTCCGTACAAGCACGCATACTACAACTTACTCTTCTACTACAACAAGCATTGAAAGACAGTGTTTACATCTGGATCTATGGTTTCAGTTTTCAGTCTTTCACTTTCACCAGGGATCATGTGGGTGATTAGAGATACAATGCGGATGTCCTCATCCTCCCCTCGATCCGTCGGCCCAGAGTACAACTGTCGTATGTCCATGTACTCCGGTTTTGAGGAAATAGGCCTTTAAAGTTTGAGATGGCTCCTGATTCAAATAAATCTCCAACTCATTCATCTAACTGTTACCCATTGTTTTTGTGTATAATCAATTATCAATGTTTCAACTTTAAAAGTTTTCACAGATTGCTGTTTCCCTGTGGAATTGAGAAAGAGTTTTTGTTTTAAGAAAATCTAGTTTTCTGAAAAATTGAACTGAATTCCTCAAAGTACAAATGTCGTATCTCCATATTAAGTTCTAAATTTCCATTATTTAGTCTAAATTTCATGGCTGAGTCACTCGCCTGAGGAGCAGAAGGTCCTCCTTGACTTAGATCCCACAGGAGACGATAAGAAACCAAAAAACCCCAACAATTTTCTTTTCAGAGGTTCAATGAGCTTAGATACCTGGCTCATATATGAAGTCAATGTTCTATGGCAGACTGATGTTGAAATTTGAGATGGCGTCTCTCAAATAACCTCACAGTGTTGCAAGGGGCGTAAATTTTAACTAACGGTCATTCCAGTTGCAAGGGGCACACCACAGGAGTCCCCGTATCCGTAGTCCCTGGCCACCTAGTAATCTTATATCTGCACTACTACCTGTAATATCTCTCATTTGACCTTATTGTGATGCAAGGGATAACCTATGAAACAAAATACAACAGACAACACCATCAATGCCCTACAAACCTTTCTGTATCGTCCAACCAAAAAACTAAATGGGCAAAGGAAAAGGTGTAAAGTAATGTTTTTCACTTTTGAGAAAAACAAAACAAAACGATTTTACAGTTTGACTTTCTCATTTCTCTTGCATACACCACGGTATTTTTAAACATGGCGTACCTGGTGGCTCTTCCCCCTTTTTTCAGTCAGATTTATGTGTGGACAAGTCCATCATTAACATTAAGAGATATCCACTCATTAGCTTATCTCAAAAATGTGAAAAGTTGACAATCCCTCTTCTTCCTATGCACCCTCCAAAAGGGTAGATCTATAGTAATAGCGAAAATTCCATTTCATAACAAATGCAACAATCTTCATTGTCCTTTCCAGACACTTTGTTCTCGTTTACTGTGTTCAAGAATAACAGGTACAGTAACTTGGAAATAAGACACATAACACAATACATATATGTATAGGCCCACAGTGTAAAAGAAATACACATACACACACACACACACACACACAGACACACAGACACACACACACACAGACACACAGACACACACACACACACACACACAAACATACACACAGACACACACACACACACACACACACAAACATACACACAGACACAGAC